GCTAACTCTACTGCAATGCGCGATCACACCCGGGCTCACCACTATCCTCCGGACTCTGCAGACCCTAACATATCTCTGTATCGAGCCGGAAACCTATCCCGACGATACATCAGACCAGACTGGGTTCTTCCATGCTTTGACACTCGGAGGTCCCACCCCCGATGTCTGCCCACTTCTCACATCCCTTGTATACGGAATGGGACTACATTTTCCCCGGGAGCACTTCTTTTCCATGGCGCGATCCCGTTTGCAATCAAACGGGCCCGGTCGTTTAGCATCTCTGCGTATTTTCAACTGTGGCTACCAAGCCGAATGCTCGCTAGATGTACTTGCAGATGTACAGATGTTGCAGGACGAGGGATTCGATGCCACCTTTCTGCGAAGCAAAGACCCTCGGCTTCAAAACGCAAAGAACGATTTTTTCTGATGATGGGTCTCTTCGTTGTACCTGTTTTTTTTGTACAAGAAAGTTCCTCCAATACTACTCAGGGAAACACATTTAAAATCTGTATTTGATAGGTTGCTACTGCTTCAAGAACGAAACTTCATCTGCTAGTGTATTATCGAAGGACATCGTTTTGAGATTGACCTTGTTGCATTGTTCCAGAAGAAAAAAAGGATCTCCGAATTGTCTGCTGAAGGACCGCAAATGTCTATAGACGGGACGATTTTCAGAACGGTTATAACAAAATTGGAAAGAGTGACGCATTGCAACTCTGCCAATAATGATCATAAGCTGTGCCGGCGCCTTTGCTTCCATCCATGATCCCACCAGAACTCATCGACGCCGTTGTATCGGAGTTGGACACCAGGTCTCTCAAGGCGTACGCCCTGACGTCGTCCAGCTTTTGCGGACCGAGTAAACGCGTCCTCTTCCGTTCTTTTCGGCTGGAAGATGTTCTTCTGTCGCATCGCTACAGCAGCTGCAGGGCGTGCACTCTATTCTCAGATTCCCAACATATCGCCACATATATTCAGCACTTGGAAATCCATCTTCCAATGAGCTCGACTCCTTCCAAGGAGATCGAATCTCTCCAGCGCGTGCTCCCCAAACTAACGCACGTGCGGCACTGTTTAATCTCTGGAATCTACACCGGGGCCCTCGCCCGTTGGAGTGACTACCCGCGAGAATTCTCCTCTGCTGTGCTCGATCTCGTCTCAGGGCAGGAATTTCTTTCCTCATTAAGCGTTTGCTTCATGAAAGAAATCCGTCCACCTGTGTTCCTCCGCTTCCTTGCATCAGCCCCCACGCTATCGTTCCTATGCTGTTACCTTCGGGGGGAGCTAGGGAAATTTCCTTGGTCGGCCCACCACTTCATCTCCCGACACTCTCCCACTTGTCTCTTCGCGAAGGAGCGGAAAGCGTCAGTGACCTGCTATCCCGTCCGGAATTTAGGCCGCACATCGCCAACCTCGTCCACTTATCGTTGAATATGGGGGCCAATCACGCACATGTCCCGCTCATTTCTGCCACTGCGCACACGCTCAAACATCTCCGCATGAACTTTCTAGGTGTGCCTTTGCCTCCGCGCGTCGCATTATTCAGTCTCATATCCCTTAATATCAGACGCCCACCAATCATCCCCACCCTTCCCTCGTCTCCGAGCCCTCTCCTCGCTCGAACTCAGACTGAATATGTCTTATCGGACAGAACCCTGTTTCATCGAAACCCTTTCCCAAATGTTAACCGCCAACCCGACATCGCCGTGGCAGGAGGTAATTGTCTCGTATTTCAACTCGGAGGACCACAAGCTAGCCGATGACGGATATTTATGGTTTCTTGCACTTGATCTCTGTTTTCAATCTCCCTGCAGAATTCCACATCCTCAAAATATTTAAATCGAGTATGGGTTAGAGAGAAGGTACCATCACGGCAATGGTGCCGAAGCGATACTGATACAATCACTGATAGAGATTTGTGATGGTCGATCTTTCCTCCTGACATTCCAGCAACATTCAAGTCGCCGTCCTCTGGAGGGCTGTCCCCTCGCCAGCCCAGAGTTCTCGTGGAATAGAACGTCGTTTCTCCACTGTGTGGTAGCTACATTGGCAGCGCTCGCTATGGACACCAGATTCAGGCACACAAACAGTTGAAATTCGCTGCTCGAGTCATCAGACAAATTGCGACGAATGCGCCATGGCCATCAGCGGATTCATATGCACGCAACAACCTCAGGTCCTGAAAGCTTCTTCTCTTCTCCACCATGACCACCGCTCTCCTCCTGCTGGCCCTCCTGGCCGGCGCGCAAGCGGAAGACCAAGCCCCGTTCACCAACACCCCGACCGACATCTGGGCGGCGCTCAGCACACGCGTCGGCGGCCGCGTCTTCACAGCAACGCCATTCGCCCAGCCATGCTTCACTAACGCATCATCCCCCCAGTGCGCCTCCGTCCAGGTGCGTTCCTCACTCCTCTGTAGGATACCAGCGACTGACTCCATGCAGGAACTATACCAAAACGAGAGTAAGTACCACCTCAGCTTCGCCGTAGCGCCCGACAAGCTGAGCCCCCACACGCAGAAGTCCGCACGTCGCAGGCGGGCGGATACACATGGGGGCAGTGGGAAACCTGCCAGGACACAGGCGAGCAGTGTCTCCTCGACTTTGCCGTTCCCACCGATTCCGCTGCCACCGCCGCACCGAACACCTGCGAGCTCGGGAGCATCCCCGACCAGTTTGTGCGTCGTCGTCGTCCTGCGTCGTTTTCTCTTTCTTGCTGATTGGTATGGTATGTATGCGTGCAGATCGACGTCCGGGGGCCTGACGATGTAATCGCCGCGTTTGAGTTCGCCAACGAGACGGGGATACCGCTGGTGGTGAAGAATACAGGGGTGCGTCATGTACACTATGATCCAGCCTTCGACACGAGCTTATCATCCGCTGTAGCACGATTTCAAGGGGCGGAGCAGCGGGCGCGGCTCGTTGGCACTATGGGTGCGTTCCCTCTTCTCGAGTCTTGATTGTTATTCACTTCAGGTGAATGCGCCTCCAGACCCACAACCTCAAGGATGTGCGTGCCTCGTCCCCTGCATATGCTGCACCGCTGATCCCCCGTCAGATCTCGTACGACCCCGCATTCGTCGCTGAAGGATGTACCGATGCTTACCCAGGCGTCACGGCTGGCGTGCGTCCATAGTCTCCCCTCTATCCTCCTCCAGCCCTACTGACGCCTACGCTGTTGCTACAGGCCGGTGTACAGTTCTTCGAGGCGTTCCAGTTCGCGGAGGAGAACAATATCACACTCGTCGGCGGGAGCGACGCCACCGTGGGTTTCGTCGGCGGGTTCGCGATGGGCGGCGGGCACGGCGTGCTCTCGCCCGTCCTGGGACTTGCTGTTGACAGGGCCGTGCGTTTCCCCCTTTCCCTTCTATCCACATCTACGTATTTCGTCGCTGACGTGCACCATGCCTTGCGCAGCTCCAATACAAGATCGTCACTCCCGACGGCAAGTACCGCACCGCGAATGCGTGCCAGAACGAGGACCTTTTCTTTGCGCTGCGCGGGGGTGCGTGTCTCTCCCTCCCTCACCCATCCTCATACTCACACTTGCTTTTCCTTCCTGCTTGCCCTCCTCAGGCGGCGGCGGCACCTTCGGCGTCGTCCTCGAAGCCACCGTCCTCGCCGCCCCCGCCGCCCCTGTCCAAGTCGTCGTCGTCACCTGGGCCCCCACCGCACGCTCCCCCGCGCGCACCCAAGCCCTCTGGGCGCTCATCGCCGACAACATGCTCGGCTGGGCGGACGCGGGCTGGGGCGGGTACACCATGCCCCAGCTCGCGCTGTTCGTGACGCAGCGGCTCTCGAAAGACGAGGCCGCGGCATCGATGGCGCCGCTGCTTGCGCACGCGGAGGCGATGAGGGAGGAGGGCGTGGACGGCGCGATGGGGATGGTGATGGAGTTTCCGAGCTTTTTGCCGTTCTTTAACTCGTTCATGACGGACGCGGGGGGAATGCGGGGGCGGGGGTGCGTTGCTTTCTCTATCCACCCATTCCCTTCCTCATGTGTCATACGGTCCCGCTAACTCCCACATAGAAAGTCGGCTACAGCGTCTCCCTCACCTCGCGCCTCGTCCCGCGGGCCTCCTTCGCCTCCAACGAATCGCGCACCGCCCTCGTCGACGCGCTCATGGCCGCCAGCGCCCTCCCCGCGCCCGACGCGCCGCTCCTCATTGTGCAGATCACCGCCCCCACCGCCGCGCGCCCCGCAGACCTCGCGCCGGGGCGCACGAGCGTCACGCCCGCGTGGCGCGACGCCGTGTACCACGTCACCAGCATGGGGATGTGGAATTGGAATGCGACTAAGACAGAGATTATGGGGGTGTATGACCGGACCAGTCGGTTGATGGATAATGTGAGGAAGGTGACGCCGGATGCGGCGTATTCTGTGCGTATCGCTTCCTTCCTTCCGTGCCTTCTTCCTTGTCTTGTCTTCTCCTCTGACATTTTTTTCTTTCTCGGTCGATAGAACGAAGCGGACGTGTACGAGCCGAACCATGAGGTGTCGTTCTGGGGTGATCACTACCCCGAGCTCGCAACGATCAAGATGAAGTAGTGCGTTTTTTTGCCCTTTTTGTGTCTGGGTTTCGTCCACGGCGCTGACCTTGATGCACAGCGACCCCGATCGACTGCTGGATTGTTGGCAGTGTGTTGGCTGGAATCCCGACTCGGAGCGGTATGCGTGTTACCTCTGATGGAGCCGTGGTGGCGCTCGTTCTGAGCGAGCAAGTTTGTCTTGCAGACATACTGCACTTATGGGGAAGGGAAGTCTATGTAATATCGACATCGTAATCTCTTTTTGCGGGTTTAATTTTTTTCTCGGTTCATCGAAGTACGCTGCGTGGTAAAAGCCGGGCTGCCGTACTATAACATTGAGATCCCTTCCCTCACCCGTTTCAGCAAGGGTCAGATTATTGGAAGGAGCTTCAATTGTTCATTCCCTTGTCTACTGTTTTTTGCTTATCCTGGTTGTATTGGATGGACGAGCTCGGCGGTGAATGCAATAAGGACCTGGTGGCACAGTGGTTAGTGTTTCCGCTACGAGTACAGACTCATTTCTGGGAGTCCCTCGTTCGTTCGGAGTTAGGTCATAGCCAGATAGGTCATACTAGCCAGACGGTTGATATCTCCCTTTTCGGCCAGGTAGTAGACTTTGTTTTTATTTTCGCTGCAGTGTGTACGGACCATAGATGTCCGATACCTTCTGGACATGATTCAGACACCTTTACATCCCAATTTGTCTGGCCGAAAATGACCAACCGTACGTATCTAGAACATCACTCAAAATGTGTTACTATTTATGTGGGCTCTAGAGTTGGCCCTCATTAATGAAAGGCAAATTCTTTTGACCCACAAAAGGGCTGAACGTGGGTCCTCCGCATCGTCGAGTCCTAATGTCAACTTGGGTCAAGACATCTTTTCACTAGGTAGCCTTTGGGCGGTATGTATTTTCCACAGACCTAATGGCATAGTGGTTAATGCGTCTGCTGTAATTATCGTAGAACGGGTAGCGTTAGTGGAAGTCCCTCGTTCGATTCGCGAATTCGGGATCAGGTCATCTTCGTTCTTCGTTGTTATTGTTGTTGTTGTTGTGATCAATTTTTCATGTGGAGAATTTGGAAGATAACATTTGGTTTTGACTAGAGGACGAGGATGTATTACCGCGGCGGTCGCATTGGAATTGTCACGCATTTACACAGGCATATCAATTAGCTTGAGACGAAACAAGGGACTCGGGTCATTTCATTTGACTGAGTTATGTAGTTCGATGAAAGAATATTGACTTTTGCAGTTTCGTGGTTCAACACAGTAACCAATGTGGTATCTGCTAACGAGTAGGCGCGTGTATTTGCTATGTTTCAACTGGTTTTACTGTTCAGATGTTGAATCTCCTACGTGGCTGATTGGCTGATTGTAACATTAGACTCAAAAACCCAACAGTGGAAGTCGAACACACCCGAATCAACAACACGGGCGGCGGCCTTCCAATGCGCGAGCATCGAGATCGCGCTCCTCTGCCGCGTCGCATTTAACGCAGCCCGAGGGGATGCAGCATTGGTAGTCTTTTGGCCCGGGACAGAGGCCTGCACGAGCGTCAAATAAATAAACGGTAAGTATGTTAGGATCGCACGTAACGCACCGGTGACCGGATAGTACTCAGGGCCGAGGCACTCGCTCGTGTACTTGCAGATGCCCTTGTTACTGTCACAGCTACTGCCCGAAGGGATGCAGCATTGGTAATCTTTCGGCCCGGGGCAGAGGCCTGCGCGAGCATCAAATAAATAAATAAACGGTAAGTATTTTAGGATCGCGCGTAACGCACCGGTGACAGGGTAGTATCCAGGCTTGGAGCACTTGCTCGTATTCTTGCAGGTGCCCTTGTTGTTGTCGCATTTCTGCGCACTGGTGAGTCCGGCGAGGGAGGTGACGAGAAGTACAAGGGAGAAACGCATGTTGATACTGGCTAGTCAAGTTGAAGAAAAACGTAGAAAGAGAGATTCTTTTATTCGTTTTCGCGCTTTGGTAGGGATCTCTGCCGAGAGGTCAGCATCTGTGCTCATGGAGCTCGAGGGCTGGCTTAGTCCATTTCGGTGTGTATATAGAATTAATACGTGCTGCGGTTGTCGATTTGGTGATACGCATGGCGTCGGAAATTGCAGTTAGCAGGGAGAACCGGGCTTGTCGTTCTGGAAACAGGGTGGAAGGAAAGGGTTTATAGGGGATGGGTACTGTACAATGCGTAATAAATGATAATGCTACAGGTCCGAAATACAAACCTACATATACCTGTTTGTGGACACTTCGCTTTCCCACTTCTCGCGAAAATAGGAAATGAGAGTGCGTTGTTGCCAGACCGACTTACAGGCCCTGCTTCGCCAGCTTCTCGAGAACCTGCATCTCCAGCGCCCCAAGCCCCATCTGCGCGTCCGGACCGAGCAGCTCGCAGGATTTGGTGTCCTCCGCTTCATCCACCACACAGCGCATCACATGCGCGACGGTGCACTCCGATGCATACGCAATATAGGTGAGGGCAATTGCCAGGAGCGCACGCGGCGGGCCCATCAGAAGCACGCGCACGGCGTCCGTGCGGCAGCGCTGCGGTGCTGGCGGGGACAAGAGGAATCCGTCGAGCGGCGAGTCGGGCGAATCCGTGGACGCGGGGTGCGCACAGGAGTAGTACGGGAGCGCGAGGGCGAGAAAGTCGCGCGCGACGAGGATGTGTCGCCTCGGGAGGGGCAGGGCGGTGCTGCTCGCCGGGATGGGGCGCGCGTAGAGATTCAGGATCTGCGTGGATCCGGGGGTGGCCTCCGTGATACTGGTGCTTCCAGCGGGGTGGTCCTCGGAGGCGGAGAGGATGCGGATGACGTGTGTCCAGCTCCCAGCGGGAAGCGTGGTTGTTGAGGGCGGCGAGGAGAGGTAGAGGTAAGGGATGAATTGGCGGGGAGCGTTTTCTTGGTCGGGGAGGTCGACAAAGACGTACGGCGAAAGGGGAGGGAGCGGGGGCGGCGAAGACAACTGGGAGCGACGATCCACTGGGATGGTGGGAGGAGTGTTACCAGCGGACGACACTAGGTTTGCGGGCAGCTTCGATTTCGTGGATGTCGGCATGCGGTCAGTGCAGACGCGTAAAAAAACATTGCATCTATCGCGCAAAGGCTGGCGTATAGGCATCATGGAAGATGAAGAAGGAATGAGCGTGAGGGAGCGTGAGGTTTCGGGACCAAGCTGGTAGCGAGTGACGTTGGTGGTGAGTGAGTGACTATGCAGAGCTCAGCTCTGAAAGATTGGAGGTGGGCAAGCCGAGATGAATCGGTGGCACGGTTGAATCCCGCACATGCGGTTATTTATGGGATTCGAGATGGCCTCAAAGCGCACTTGGCCCATTGTTCTACAAAGCAGATAAAGAAGCCACAGAAGATTTCCTTTCAGGGGCGTAATTGTAGTATCAAAGCACCTTTGGAGGCGTCTCCGCCTTTGTATTGACGGTCATCTGTAGCGTCGAAGATTCTGATCATGATGTTTGTCAGACTTTGTCTAGTGCCCAAGTTTCCAAGTCTGCCGTTGTTCAGTGTGCTCCAACCTCGGCCGGGGTCCTTGTAGGAGAGGAAAACTTGACAAGGGTATTAATCTGGAACAAAGTTGATTTGAGCCTCATCTGTGCGCCTTGTTGCCGATGTGTGGCAATGGCCCGTTACGGTGGAGGTGGTGACGCGGGACGCTGATGTGACCGATGTCACTGATGAGTGGCTGATCCGGACTCTGCCGAAGTTCAACTGTTCGCTTTTTCTAACTTGGAGTCTTCTTGCAATTAGGCTTGGCACGGAAATTTATTGCGTGGAAATTACAAGCTCGTTGTATGAGATGGATTCGATTTGTCTCTGCCACTGGTTGATCATGGGACTTGACACTGGTAGTGGCTCAAACTCGGTGAAAAGTTGGATCCAGTCAGCGCTTTGGTGGCGATCTGGCTCAGTGATTTCGATGCCAGTAGATTCTCTGGTCCTCATGGTGAACGGAAAGTTGAAAATACTCAACTTCCCAGTAACTCGAGTGCTGGTGGTTCTCAGGGCGAAATAAGAACTGAGGATATATTTGTCGTTACAGTAGGCAAGAGTTGGTAATGGAAATGCGGAAAACGTCCGATTCGTTACTTTCACCGAATATTTACGACAATCAACGTTGCTGGTTCGCAGGGAGTGCGTTGTATGCCGGGCAGAGGGCATCCCAAGCGTCGGTAGGGTGGACCTGCTTGCGGATCTCATCGGTGCCTCCAACCATGACCGACCCGAGCCCGGCCCAGAAGTGGAAGAATACTAAAGTGGAAATCGCCGTGGTCAGTTTGTAGTTTGCACTGGATCTTCGGAGACTTACTGTGGCAGTGGACTAGTGGGGAGGGGGCAGCATGAGGTTAATATACACTCGTTAGTAGGACAGCTGGACTTACAGAACCACGGGCCTGGGTCGACAAGTCAGCGACGACAGCGAGACGCTAGGGAAGTGAAACACTGACCAGGTTTGTCCGTCGTGAAGCGGACAATCATTCCTCCAAGAGCAGTGCCTGCGGTCTATTTAAATGAATATCAGCGTGCATTTCAATGCTTTCAACTCGGATATTAAGCGCACATCTCGGATGATAGGGTTTACGGTGTTGATAACATCGGAGTTGTTGTTCTTGACCAACCAGAAATTGTTGCCGTGCAAGTGGAAGGCTGCAACGGGAAATAACTTCAACACAAGGGATGGGGGGGAAAGGAAACAAGCTACGCACGGTGCAGCTCATCGCCGGGGCTGGCGTTGATTGCAGGTAAGCCAACAACAAATCGAAAGATAGTGCAAGTCGACGTACTCGGCCGGGAACGTGATTTGGATGACCTTATTGGCAGGGAAAACAAAAGTGTTCTCAGACGCATTGAAGTCTGCGGCGCTGTCGGCGCCGTCCAGAATCTTGACAAGGGTAGGGACGACAGGCGACTGATATTGGATGCCGTTGATGGTCCAGACGGTTTGGTTGACCGGCATGTCGGTAACGAAGGTCAGGTTGAAGTCGGGCTCGGGTGCCTATCATCCATCATCAGCGAGATATTCGTGCGTAGAGTTCAAAATACTTGCGGGGATGGGGAATAAGGCTGAAGATACTCGATTAAATTTTGGACGATGATTGACTGACAAAGACACGCACGATGCAAATTGACTTCCTGCAACGGGTTCTGGACGGCGGGGCCCTGGGTCATGGGACCTGTTGGCTCTTGTGCCGGAGCACCCTTATAGCGGAGAATACCGCGTCCGAGTGTTGACTAATGGAATTAAATATCGATATCGTCACTTGGGCCAGGATCCTTACGTTGAGGTTGAGGTTATGTGATGGATTACCACCAGTGAGGATGGTGTCTGTAAATTGGGATAAGAATCGCGCGAGTGTCTGAGCTGAATATCACGCACTAATCCAGTAGTTTCCTACAGGTTGGTTGGCGGTAACCTTTGGATAGATATTTGTCGGCAATGAAGACTGGTATGATCAAGACTAGTACACACAACGATGGAGTAGCGCTGGCCGGCGTGCATGGTCAGAATGTTGACATTGAGGGGCGAC